AAGTGCTCTATTGATATACAAGGGTTGGCAAGAGGAGGCTTACGGTTGCACTGTGACATTCTTTTGAGTTAATAATGCTATTGTAATAATCAAAACCTGCATGTCTTTTTCCATAGGAATGACTGTAAACCTACTTTTGCCCACCCCTGTATTTCAAGAAAACAGAAATTTTAAATTATGACAAATAAATTTCAACAAATTCCCTGCATCAAAAATACAGAGGAATGTATAAAATTAATACATCCATTGATAACTTTTTAAATCCTCATTTGAGGGTGCTTTATTGATGAGAGAGGGAGAGAGAGAGAGAGAGAGAGAGAGAGAGAGAGAGAGAGAACAGAGAGAAACATCCATGTGAGAAAGAAACATAGATTGGTTGACCAGAGATCAAACATGTGAAATCTAGGTATGTACCCTGATCAGGAATGAAAACCACAACCTTTTGGTGTACAAGATGATTCCCCAACCAACTGAGTGAGGTAACCTCTTGCCTATAAAATCATGATACAAATTTTACATTTGCTTCAGTTTACCAAAATATTCATACTAAATATTAAATTCACCATTTTCTCTACTTTTCATGAAACCAAATAAAATTGGTTTACAAGTTATATGTTGTATGTATGTTTCTTAACATATTTGTCACAATTTGAGGTACATTATTTTGTTGCATGAACATAACCAGACTTCCAGTTCTATCTAATTCTTACATTAGCTATTCTATAAATGTAAAATATAATTTAACACTTAATATTTTAAAGGATTATGATTTGTTTCTGATTAAAGTATTTTTTAAATATTTGCAAGTTGGTTTGTAATAAATTTATGTCTAATAAATAAATGACAAAACTTTTAAATCTTATCTTTGGACCTTATTTTTTAAATGATTTTCAGTGAATGGAACAACAGACTAAAATGTTTTCTGTACATATTTCTGCCATAAGTTTTGGCATAGATTATGTATTTTAATTCCCTAATAGTGGTATGATTAATCATTGAGGCGCTTATTCAACAGATAATAGAACTTCTGCCAGACTCTGCAGAAGATATAAAGATGAAATATATGCTCAGACTAACTTGGTTATAAAAGAGAGAAACAATTTCAAGCATGTTTAATTAAAACAAGGAAATAATTAGCTCCCATAATTGAAAAATTTGTGCTTTATATATGGCTGGATCTAGCTGCTCAAGCAATGTAGTCAGGAATCTGATTTGAGATCTAAAAAATACGATGATCAGGAATGAATTCCAGAATGGTATTAAGATAGTACTCACTGCACAAAAGCATGACAGAAATCAGGATGGGATAAGCAATGTGAGCTTGAAGAGCAGCAAACTACAGCCTATA